CGCTTACTCCAAGAGTGATTATTGCCTTCCCAAGGCTAATCGACTCTTCGGTTTAAATACCAAACTGATTTTAATTTATTTATCCTAGCCCCGTACCGTACGTAAACCGTATTCTTGTTTGGGTGTGATCAAACCATGCACATCTCGTGTGACCCCCCCCTAGATATCAGGGTTCGTGTAACATCGTTACATTTTCACTGAGTCCATAAATTGGATTGTCGCAGAACGTTGAGCGCAAAACGTCATGAGAATATACTGATCATATTCATTCTTGCTTAAAGAGATATCACGACGTGGTGACAAGTGATCAACCACGCGTTTAGCCTTCGGATCCAGGAGGCCGTCATGAAATGAGCTTTTGAAGCCATATACTGCGTCACACATCAATCAACCATATTAAGGTGAAATGCTTCCTTTGCAAAGTACGCAGCTAACTCGATTAAACAGAGTAAATACCCACATTAGGTGCCAGGCCTTTACGCCAGAAAAGCTAACGGTACGTTGCAAGTTTTATATGCTGATAATGAGATTGATACAGCCGCAATTCTATAAGGGTAACTTTTTTTAAAGAAGATATGCTTAAAATAGATCGGCCACTTGTACTTTGGTAAATGTTCTCAACCGGATTAATAATCATTATCAGTGCTCGCAAGAAGCGGCGTTATCCTCTCACTGCGGTCAGTACTCCTAACGGGATGCTCTGTAAGTCGATAACCACGCCGCAGAGGCTGTTTACAGTTCAGCGAAGCTTCATTATCTGGTGATGCGACTGTGAAAATGACATCATGCCCATGCACTAACCTATTTTGGCGATAATTTTGTCTATAATCGTTCAGAGCATAAAGGTCGAACATGGGCGATCAAGTGAAACACCTATTAGGGTTTTACGAAAGCTGCTTGGCCCGGCCAGCCAATCGCGCAAATATATCCAAACGTATGCAAATACAGCGCGGGCTCTCACCAATCTTCTTACAGAAGGTATCAAGTGTTGCTGGCGTGCGGCAGCGGCGGCATTTGAGGCTCATACAAAAAGGATTTGAGTATACCCATTTTAAGACATCCGAATCCAGATCGAACATTAGGCATTCTATTTTTTGCCATATAAAATGCATTATTCCAAGCAAATGCCGATGAATGTGACAAAGTGATGGAATTGAGTCTCACCAGCTTGAAGTAGATAGAAAACTGCCATGTTCATGACAAGGAGCTACTTGCTGTGAGGATGCGATGGTTAATCTCGGAGTATTCCTGGTTGGTTTGAAGTCGTTTGCAAGCTATACAAATTAGGCGTCGTTGTACACAGCGACGTCGTCACCGTGAATACCAAGATGGTTTTTTTTATCGAATATACCTTGCGGTAAGATCTAACCCTGGCCGGCTTTGTTTGATGACGAATGCCCTTTGCATTATCAAAGCTATTAACTGTTGAATGTGACGATGGTGACGCTGTCTGCTGGTAATACGAAACTTACAGCTGCTGATCAGACGCAACTTGCGTCGTGTTGCTGTTGGCTGTGAAAGAATAGTGTTTGAGAGCTCAAGTGTCCAATTATCAGTAAGCGTGGTTGCACTCCTATACCACTATACCCAACAAGACTTGCAGTATTACAGCACTGACAAACACGCCACTCAGCGTAAATTGATCCCTTTTTAATGAGGACTTCATGTGCAGAATACTGTATGAGGTACATGATATGACCATCTCGGACGAGAAAAGTCAAACAGCTTGGTGAGTGCCAATTATCGTTATCACAGTATGCAAAAGAGGGTAAGCAAATGTTTACACATGTAAGAGCAGTTTTAACAGGTCAACCCTTTCCCATGTATCGACGACATTAAGCAGTCTAGCGGATGAGTGTTGGCAATCCATGAATAATGAGTTTTCTGAAAGAATCAAGAGCGCGTCCGGTCATACCGGCATTTTGGTCTTTGTGGAACGTTTTTTTGTTCGAGCCAGAAAGCTCATATGCTACTGTCAGCAATAATATGACGGGTGAGGATACAGCCAAAATATATTTCGACACATTTTCATCAACACGACTCGCCGATAGCCGATATGCTAGATAAAGATTCGTGAATTCAGTAACGTTTTTGCAAACAATGTACTAGGCACCAGATTTGGCATTTTAACCGTTGGCCACCCACTTACACTTCGTCAGAAATAATGCGTGAAATGCGATGTGGAGGATATCCTTTGAAGGATCTGCGCGGATCGACTGTCTTCGTTAAAAATATGGTACCAAACCGCTGGAGGCTCTTCGGCACTTCACAAGATTTTCTGGCGACCTCAGGGTATTTTTATCACCGCCTCGATGAGGCTTTGATCTACATGTGTGACAATTATCAACCAAAATTTATCTGCTGGTAATACCCCGGCTACACTTCGTAGAAAACTACTGCATTAATCTCAGTAAGATTGAGCGTCATGCGCCAGGTGTGCGATGCTACGGCTGGGTCGAAACATCTAAAAGCAACACGTCGATGCTGGAGGTAAGCTGATTAAATGGGAGAGTGATCAAGTTTATTGCATGAAACTATCCTGCCTACATAGGCGACTGAGGGGATTGATGAGAATAAGTAGTGATCGTGCTAGATTGGACCCTCCACGGTCGTAGCAAATACAGTTAGTTAATACAATATTGAATTATACTATGATTATTCCGATGAACGCAAACACATCCTGTGTCTACGTTAATAAATGAAAGATACGACGATCTCTTTCATGCACATTTTCAAGTCAGTAAGTCCAACGCAACGAGCTATGTTGTAGATAAATCGGTTCCTCCACCGTCACCTGACATTAAGCTGCATTTTTTTTAGTGCTCTAATATGTTGTGAATCGTTTAAGATTTCCGGAGCAATGATGCAGCCTTAAATTCGTATCCGAACTAGAACCGCGTCTTTCTCATAGACTTGTCGAGACGTATGATTGTACTTTTACGATGCGAGTAGGAGCAGGCAATGTAGAGTGCAGGCAGTGAAGTAAAATTCAAGCGCAATGGGTTCTTGTTGTGCGTCAAATAGACAAAAACGTGCAAATCTCGTTGTGATTCTATCTTGGAGGGAATGCAAAATGGGTTACGTAATGTACTATTGTGTTATAATTATGTGCAATTGTGCAAAATTGTGTGTGATTTTATTTAAGAGCATTTGTGCAACTTGAAATATCGAAAGACGGAACTAAAGAGGTCTGTAGCTTATTGATTAGCCTCACGACATGTTATATATAGTCCCATTATCAAACACAGTAACACAGTTCTGTTTGTATAGAAAAGTATGCACTAAATAATTGATTTCATTCTTACCAAATTATCCGATTAAAGTCCAAAATGACTTCTATCATCGCTTTTTTTTCGACGTTCAGGCAACAGCAACACTGGCGAGAAGCAGCTTTTAAGATTACAGCGGTCATGTAGAACAGAACAGTCGACATGCATGCATGAGAAAAAAACCCTTGGCTTTGATACTCTTTTGGACGCAAAGCCCTTTCGTGACAGATGTTGTCCATCGAGGCAAGACACTCACTATGAGATTGTCAAAGATTTGGGTACTTGGGATATTTTGGCACATACGACTTTACGTTTTCTTGCGGGGCAAGTGCAACTTGTTGGTGACTTTTTCGTGCCATTTCGTTTTAATGTAGAGAATATTTTTGTCAGTAGGTAGGAGGTAGTCCGAGTGCATATTCTGATCTACTGATGATCAATTTTTCTTTTTCATCTAAGACCCATAATTAATGCTGTCGTTCATCACGTCTAAAATCAATAATTCAAAAGCATTCAAAATGTAAAGTGAGTGAGAAATCGTTGGACGCTGTCTTCAAAGTAGAGCGCTTGCTTTTCCATACCCGCGAAGGCAGCGTCTCACAATTACGTACAAAGCTTGAGTACCTATTGCGGTCGCATATAGCTACTTCACATCTCTTGGACGAGATTGTATATCGGCTTGAAGTACAACGTCGTTTCGTCGATGAATGACGATGTTTGCTCGGCACGCCACATTTTATTAACGCTCGTTAATACCGGCAAGATGAGCGTGTATGTATCGTGGTACAATGATTAGCTTCACTGCTTGCCGCACGAGGCGTACAGAGGTCTTCGGTGCTGCAAAACGTCTTTCGACAGCTCATTCGTTTACAGAGACACTTGCTATTTTCTAGCGTACCGCTTTGCCGTGCTTTCAACACCTACCGCACTTTTGCTAATTTCGAATTGTCCATTCTCTCCAACAATGACTCCTGCTACTACAGCAGCTCTATCTCGCTTCCACATAGTACTCACAGTAGCTCGATCAACCTTGACGTAGACTTTTCGAACCAGTATTCTGTTGAAACTGACCGCGAGAAGCAATCACTAAAAGCTTTGAGCTTTGGCTCTTTTAGACTTGGGTTGTGCATCTTTCGGGAGAAGAGGGGCAGTAGTTATATCGTGACGGGCGACCGACCCATCGAATAGAACTTGGCAGATGCAGCTCAAACTGTGTAGTGGCGATGGCTAGCAGGGTCCGTTTGGAGTCAAACGGCGAACGAGGAGGCAAAAAGAGTTTGTTCAAGCCAGTTGGTTGCTCTAAATGACTCGGAGGCTGCTTGCTATTATACAAAACGTTGGTTTTTGGAAATCCTGTCCGACTAGATATCATCACGCTACTTGAAATGCCCTTGCTTTTGTTCCTGAGTGCAGCATTTGAACCCATCTTCTGTGCGTTATTAACGCGGACTCTTTGGGTCAAAGCTTATCATGGCAACCCTGTTGAGCAACTTGAGTCAGAAAAATCTTGTAGTATGCACGGTTGTTTTTCATAATAGTACAATTAAGTAAAAACAAACCTGGGCAAGTTAAACTGAATTCGCGACCTGACGCTTTCATATGACGATTGGTTAATTTCTTAGTGTTCAGCATTTAGTACTTCTTCTTTAAATGACGATTTGACTCAGTAAGTCTGATCATCGATTAATCAAAAGTATTTTGCGCGGTAACGTATACATCCAACATGAAATCTTGAGATCAACGGGCTGTTAGTCGTCCGCAATTGAGTATTGCTTTCAGCTCTAACAGTGCCTTAAATTTAAATTTTGAGCGGGCAAACCTACAATTCTCTTTGATCATTGAGTTTATGAGTTTCCTTGCTTGTACACTACCGAATGTACGTCTGAAGCTGCATTCATGAGCAGGGTGTTGTAGTAACATTTAAGCAATTGATCGTCCTGATTACAGCCCCATTCAATGTAGCTCTGGGTCGATAAAATACAGGTCAATTTTGCAAGCATTGACAATCGATCTTCCCCCTTCACAGCTAAGATTTTTTGTTTATCGATTTACTTATGGATCAAAGCGAGTTTCATATATTGATCAGCATGCCTATGGATGTATGTGATGATATTATATTCAGATTGCGTATTGCTTTGCCGGTATAATATAAATAATGCCATCGAGCAATTATCAAGTCAAATGATATATATTTGTTAGTTACTACAAGTCAAACGTTGGAAACGAAATTAAGTAATCCGCACACCGAGGAAACGTCATAGCTGCCAAGAATCTAAAAAAGTAATACATACTGCAGACTTACAGTAGATGGAAGTCTATCGTTAAAGCGTTCTTAGAATTGTGAAGGAAAGAAAATGGGCACCCTTTCCGAGCCGATGAGCTATATGTGCTCAACATTCTACGCGAAACTCACTCAAATCGCGTGTCTCTGCCTTTAACATATTCTTGTGTGAACTATAATCGTATGCGAAGCCACCATGGTAGCTAATGTCAATACCGTTCACCTCCTCGTCTCCATCTACACGTAGCCCAACCGTAATCTTGAGCAAGAACAAAAGAATTATCGTCACAATAAACGAGTATACTGCAGCTGCAATCTGTGAGACCAATTGATGAAGAAATAGCTCGCCGCTACCGTAAAAGGCACCATTTGGAATGTTCGGATTTACTTCTGATGTGGCGAACAGGCCAGTCATAAGGCCACCCATGACGCCGACACAGCCGTGAATGGCAAATGAATCGAGGGTATCGTCATAGCGTAAATGTTTTTTCATCATGATAGCCGCAAAACCCGTGGCTGCTCCTACTACACCAAAAATTGCAGCTACCGAAGGGTACACGTAGCCACAGGCTGGTGTTATC